TTTTTCAATTCTACATGCTAGAGATTAGGACTGATTGAAATTGTACCTTTTCGTAACAGATTTATGTGACTCATCACATCTCCCCCGTGAAAACGCTCTCCTTTTAATACAATGCTCATTTCAATGGATGTGCTTAATATTATGGGATGTTTAACGTACTGTCCATGTTTCTGATGTAACTGAGCAGGATGATTTTTTTTCCATGCCGTCATAAACTGCAAATACTGCCCATGCTGGCTCAGGAATTCTGGGAGTTGAAGTCCAGAAGTCATAAAAGAGCCATCGTTCCCCACCTGTGACATAGAACCACCTAAAGGAGGACGCAGCAGTACCCGAGGTTCTGTTCGCACGACCTGCGTCCCCACTCCTGGCTTTGCACATCCAGACCCCTGGTGTGGTTCAACGTGCTCAGTGCAAGCCAACTTCACCTGGACTGAGACCAGCCAAACTGAGCAGACTGTGCACATGGGAGGGCTTCCCTTGCCACTGAGGCTTATTGCAGGGACCCCCTCCCCGGGCAGCATCACCGGGGAAACCTCTCCAGGCCGGTGACTCTCAGTCTGTACCTGGACAGCCTTGGCTGACTTGGGAAGGAAAGCTTGTTTACGCTTGGATGGGGGACCACCAGGAAACGCAAGAGATGCTGTCTAGCACTTGAAAGTTTAAAAAAAAAAGCAGCCCAGAAAATGCTTTGAAGGTATCTGGGATTGACCTGATGATGGTTTGCCTGCTCAGTTGACTAATGGCCAATCTGGAAAAAGGTGAATTGAGGTCCAGCCTCTTTAGTTCTTGGAACAGAGCAGGCACTAGAATTAGGAAGGCAGCAATGGCCGATCGCTTACATGTTGCCCCCAAGAGAGCTTCAGACCCCTCCCCTCTCTAACGGCATCGCCCCAGAGATTTGCGTGGCTCACCTGAGAGATATTCCATAACTCTTCCAAGGGGAGGCTTTGCTCCTGGGCTGGCGTCTTAGGCTGTTCGCTGAGCCAAAGGGAGCTTCAGTTTTATACTACAATGTCTTTTGCCCAGATGTATATGTTCTTTTCTGTTTTCGTTTTCTCATCCACGAGAAGATCCTGGTTTCTATGTGAGATATGCAAGACAGGATCTGCGAAAACTATTTCTAAGGTGGCTTATCATCACGTAGTCGTGATAGCGAAATGCTAGGGGCGCCATCATGAGATTGCCAACTTGGAGGAGGGAGGCCGGGTCCACCCCTTGCATGCCCAGAAAGTCCCACTGAGAGGCGGAGGCTTCGGCCTTCCTCCCCGGGCGGGCCTGGGACTCCCCTCCGGGCAAGGGACACAGCCGTCACCTGCCTCTCCTCGAGTGTCTGCAGGGTGGGAGAAGCTTCAGTCAGAGGAGCCACCTGGATAGCCTTTCAAGTTATCTGGTCCGTAACCTTTGCCTCCTGGGAAGGCCTCTGCGTTGCAGGAAGAGAGGCCGCGGACGGGCTCGGATCCAGGTGGGGCGCAAGGGACGCTGGGAGTGGCAGTCCGAGAGGCTCTCTGGCGGAGGGAGGGGGGAGGCGAGGCCTGGTCTGGCGGGACGGGCGCTGGGAGGGAGGCCTGCCCGGAAAGTCCCACTGAGAGGCCGAGGCTTCGGCCTTCCTCCCCGGGCGGGCCTGGGACTCCCCTCCGGGGAAGGGACGAAGCTGTGACCGCCTCTCCTCCTCCCCCTTCGCCCCTGCAGGAGGACGGGCGAGCCCGGCGGAGGAAGGAAGGAAGGAAGGAAGGAAGCAGGCGCCGCCCGAGAGGAGAGGAGGCCCCGTGGAGCAGCCCCGGGAGGAGACGGCGGGGGAGGCCCGGCAGGGATGAGCCGAAGGGGACTCCGGGAAAGGAGCCCGCCTGGAGGGAGAAGCGGGGAGCAGGAAACGGGAAGAGACCCCGAGACGGGCCTGGAGGGCGGAGGGTCCTTCAGAAGAGGCGGAAGACCCGGGAATCCCCACAGAATCCAGGAGGGAGGAGAGAAATATCAGTGCCCAGAATGTGGAAAATCCTTCCAAGGAAATGGAGATCTTGAAAGGCATCTAAAAATCCACACAGGAGAAAAACCGCATAAATGCCTGGAGTGTGGAAAGAGCTCCAGTCAGAGCAGCAACCTTTATAGACATCGAAGGATCCACACAGGAGAAAAACTGCATAAATGCCTGGAGTGTGGAAAGAGTTTCAGCCAGAGGAGCAACCTTTATGTACATCAAAGGAGCCACGCAGGAGAAAAACTGCATAAATGCCTGGAGTGTGGAAAGAGTTTCAGCCAGAGGAGCAACCTTTATGTACATCAAAGGAGCCACACAGGAGAAAAACTGCATAAATGCCTGGAGTGTGGAAAGAGTTTCAGCCAGAGGAGCAACCTTTATGTACATCAAAGGATCCACACAGGAAAAAACCCACATAAATGCCTGGAGTGTGGAAAGAGCTTCAGACATAGGAGCCACCTTTATGTACATCAAAGGATCCACACAGGAGAAAAACCGCATAAATGCGTGGAGTGTGGAAAGAGCTTCAGAAATAGGAGCAACTTTTATGTACATCAAAAGATCCACACAGGAGAAAAACTGCATAAATGCCTGGAGTGTGGAAAGAGTTTCAATCAGAGCAGCAGCCTTTATGTACATCAAAAGATCCATACAGGAGAAAAACGGCATAAATGCCTGGAGTGTGGAAAGAGTTTCAGTCGGAGGGGAAACCTTTATGTACATCAAAGGATCCACACAGGAGAAAAACCGCATAAATGCCTGGAGTGTAGAAAGAGTTTCGGTCAGAGGAGCAACCTTTATGTACATCAAAGGATCCACTCAGGAGAGAAACCATATAAATGCCTCCAGTGTGGAAAGAGCTTTACTGAAAGTGGAGGTCTCCGTAAACATCAAAGAATTCACACAGGAGAAATCCTATGAATGCTTGGAATTTGGAAGGAGCTCCAATGGGGCAGGAACTACGTATAATCAAAGGATCCACACA